AGAAGGCGCAGGAGGAGGAGCGGCTCAGCCGGCGCCTGCGGGACAGCCACGAGACCATCGCCAGCCTGCGGGCCCAGTCGCCGCCCATCAAGGTGGGAGCCTGGGCGGTGCCTCGGGGCTTGGCCCCTGGTGCCCGGGGCAGGGCTGGCATGCAGGGGGAGGTGTGAGTGGTGAAGGCGGCGCTCCAGTCTGCACTCAGGCAGTCTCTGGCCTGTCCCCCCTCGTGCTCTCCAGGGCCAGGCACGATGTAGGCATCCGGCAACCGATGGTGGAGGTGCCCACTGCAGGCCAGGCAGGGTCATAGGGCATCACCGGGTGCCCTCATCTTTGCTTTCTTTGCTCTGTGCTGAGGCTGGGGCCACAGCCGGGCTCATAGTGGCTCATTAAGAGGAGAAGGTGCCCTAACCGGTTTGGCTCAGTGGATAGAGCGTCGGCCTGCGGACTTAAAGGTCCGAGGTTTGATTCCGGTCAAGGGCATGTACCTTGGTTGCAGGCACATCCCCAGTGGGGGGGTGTGCAGAAGGCAGCTGATCGATGTTTCTCTCTCATTGATGTTTCTAACTCTCTATCCCTCTCCCTTCCTCTCTGTAAAAAATCAATAAAATATATTAAAAAATAAAAAAAGAGGAGAAGGTCCCAGGAGGCCCTGGCAGCAATCCGGGAAGCCAGGACTTCGCAGCGCCGCTGGCTTTTTCAGGGGCTCTTGGGGTGTCCCTGAGGGTCCCCTCCCCAGACCAGCTGAGTCCCAGGGCCTCTGAGTGAGGTCGAGGCGCACTCGCACTCCCATGCTCTCCTCCCTCTCGCGCCCGCAGTATGTCATCAAAACGGTGGAGGTAGAATCGTCCAAGACCAAGCAGGCCCTCACCGAGTCCCAGACCCGGAACCAGCACCTGCAGGAGCAGGTGGCCATGCAGAGACAGGTGCTGAAGGAGATGGAGCAGCAGCTGCAGAGCTCGCACCAGCTGACCGCACAGCTGCGGGCCCAGGTGCGCAGGCCGTGGGGGGGTGGTGCGTATTGGGGTGTGTGTGGGGGTGCGCATGGCTGTGGGGCAGGACGGGCACGCAGCAGAGGCCAGCCTTTCGTACAGGCCACAGACCCAGGCTCCGGTCCCTCCTCTTCCCGCTGACCGTGTGACCAAGGGCCAGTTTTGTCGGAGTCTCTGTTTCCTCATCTATAAAATGATGTGATCACACCTCACAGTGCGGCTCAGGGACCGACTCACAGGAGGCTCTTCTCACAGAGGCCTTGGGCCCAGCACACCCGCTCTCTGAAGGGGCTCTAGTCAGTATCATAGCAAACACGCTCCCCTGACCCTGGGCTGTGCGCACCTGTTATGTGGCAGGACCCAGGTTGGTGCTAGAGCAACATAGGGAAGTAGCTGCATGGAGCTCACAGCTCTGTGGGGGAGAGAGATGGCCATCCTACCCCTCTCCTGTGTGTGCATGTGCATGTGTGTGGGGGGGCGGGGGGAGGTAAGAAGAGACAGGGCTTCTTTCTGGCAACGCCCCCCCCGACCCCAGCCCCACATACTGAGCCTCTGGCCTTGGCCGCCAGATCGCCATGTACGAGGCGGAGCTGGAGCGGGCGCACGGGCAGATGCTGGAGGAGATGCAGTCCCTGGAGGAGGACAAGAACCGGGCCATCGAGGAGGCCTTCGCCAGGGCCCAGGTGGAGATGAAGGCCGTGCACGAGAACCTGGCAGGTGAGCCGCCACCTGGGCCCCGGCCTACCCCGCGCTGCACCCCTCACCCCGCCCGCCTGACACCCGTCCGGCCCCATAGGCGTCCGGACCAACCTGCTGACGCTGCAGCCAGCGCTGCGGACCCTCACCAGCGACTACAACGGGCTCAAGCGGCAGGTGCGCGGCTTCCCCCTGCTGCTGCAGGAGGCCCTCAAGGGCGTCAAGGCCGAGGTGAGTGCCAGCCCTGAAAGGGGGGGCGGGGCTGGGAGAGGCCTTGCGCCCTTGGGCACAGGCCGCATCCACCCAGGAGCTCTTCCAAAATGCAAACCGAGCCCCAGACAACTGTGCCTCTCCTGCCGCTTCATCCTCTCCCCCCTACACACACACTGCCACCCAGACCCTGTTTGAAAAAGTCTGCTCAGGGGCAGGCATCTGGGCATTTGTTCTATTCTGACCCTTGAACCCAAACATGTTACAGCCCCATATCTCAGACATGCTACCTACATCCGTACACCTGCGAGCTTGGATTTAAGTTTTGCGAGCTGCGCGTGTGCGATGTGAGAATAGCCAGTGTCTCTCACGGGCCTCCCACACGCCGAGCCTTTTATAGCCACCGGCTCCTTGGATCTGAATGATGGCTCTGCAGGGTAGAGAGACTGATGTATTTTAGGAGTAGAAAATAGTTCTTCTTTAAAATATGATGTCAGTAAAACATGGACATGGTAGAAAGAAGGGCATCAGAAAGAAGGAAAGGACTCTACCACCCTGCTCCCTGAAGGCGGCCTCTGTGCCAGCAATTCCCGGGCGTTCTGTGCCCTCTTACCCACAGGGCAGCGTAGGGGCGTGTGCCCAGCCTCCTGCTGCTTCCCCTGCGAAACGCAGCGTGGAGATCTTTGCCTACCGGCTCCTACAGATCCACACGAGTTAGATGCTGTTAGCCCCACTTTACAGATGGGAAAACTGAGGCTTGAAAACATGGAGCCTGTTGCCTCGGGTCCCAGCTACTCGGGGTAGAGCTGGGTTTGGGGTCCAGCGGAATCTGAGGCCGAATACGAATGCTGTGGCGTGAAGCTGAGATGCTGCTCTTTGCTTGTGCAGCCGGACATCCTTGAACTATGGGCTCAGCCTCTCGGGGGACGGGGGGCGGGGGCGGATTCCGTTTCCTTCTTTGTAAACTGGAACTGGTAGCAGCACACCCCCCTCCCCAAGGGAACTCAGCCCAGGGCGAGGGACAGTGCTCAGCCAGCCGGGGGGCAGGCAGCCTGTGGAGCTGCCCCCCGACGGTGCTGCGTGTCCCCCACCAGATCGGCCAGGCCATCGAGGAGGTCAACAGCAACAACCAGGAGCTGCTGCGCAAGTACCGCCGGGAGCTGCAGCTGCGCAAGAAATGCCACAACGAGCTCGTGCGGCTGAAAGGTGACTGCAGGCGGGCGGGGGGCGGGTGCCGGACAGGGGTCCTCTACCTGGCTCAGGGATGATCCTGCCCCTCCCCATGGCCCTCAGCACCGCTCCTTGGAGCTCTGCCCTGTCACGGAGGAGCTGTTGTCTTTCCATCTTTGAGGATAAAGCCACGGAGACACAGAACAGTTAGGGCTTGGATCTGTCCAACCCCAAGGCCCTGGCCAGTGTCCACAGCAGCCGCCCCCAGGCCTGGGTGGTGAGGGGCTGGAATGCCTCCTGTTCTGACCTGGGGCCGGCCACGCCTGAGATTTCACCCGTTCATGGCACAAAGGCCTAGGGAGCGCCTGTCCTGTGCCAGGTGCTGCTCCGGACGCAGAGACCTGGCCGTGGCCCACAGGCGCCATCCCTGCCGCACGGTGCTCACTTCCGCTGGGAGGGCAGACAGTGACCCTCCAGCAGCCAGAGAACCCCCACAGGGGTTCCCTTACCAGGGCTGGGGGGAGGGGTGCTGGGGGGCTTCCTGGAGGAGGCAAAGCTAGACCTGAGACCTGGGCTGGGAGTTGGCGTGGACAGGTGGAGGGGGACGGGGCCCCCGGCGAGCTGTGGTGGGGAGTTTTCTCTTCATTCCAGGGGCACTGGGATCCCACTGGAGGGCTTGAAGATCCACGCCTCCAACACCCTGCCCCCCGAAGGCAGCCTGTCTGCCAGCAATTCCCAGGGCGTCCCCCCCTCCTATCCACACGATCCCACAACTGACCTTTCTCCCTGTCCCCAAGGGGAAGCTCCTACCCTCCACTGGTTTGCTCAGGAAGAAAATGTACCAATAAGGGAATTCATACTACAGTGTGAGTGACTGATAAGAGCTGTGTGGCCCCAGGGGCCTGCTTAGAAGGCAGGAGGCTCCTGAGCCACGAGCCTGCTGAGGATTCCAGCGGCACGAGCACGGAAGCCGCCTGGTCTTGACCCAGCCCGTCCCCTTCTCTGCTCCCCCACCCAACCAGGCAACATCCGGGTGATTGCCCGTGTCCGGCCAGTCACCAAGGAGGATGGGGACGGGCCGGAGGCGAGCAACGCGGTGACCTTCGATCCTGACGATGACTCCGTCATCCACCTGCTGCACAAGGGGAAGCCTGTGTCCTTCGAGCTGGACAAGGTCTTCTCCCCGAGGGCCTCCCAGCAGGACGTGAGTGTGGCTCTCAGGTGGGATGGGGGGAAGGGATGGAGCAATGGAGAGAGGGGGACACAGAGACACTCACCAGGAAAGGGACAGATGGGGGGGGACGGGGGGCAGAAAGCAGGGTGAGCGTGGGGGAGACGGGATAGAGAGGCCTGGGTGTCAGGGTCCCTCTCTCCTTCCCTCTGGAGAGAAGAGGGTGGGAAGCGAAGACTGAGGGCGTTAGAATCCGCTGCTGGGAAGGAGAGATCCATGCACAGTCCCTCCCACCACGTGGCCCCGCCCACCCCAAAGCTCCGCCCACCCACGTGGCTTCTTACGGTCACATGACCCTGGCCAGCTCTGAGCCGGGTCCCTCCAGCCTCTGAGAGGCCTGAGGTCTCAGCATCTGCTCTTGTCTCATCCCTGCCAGGGCCAACGTGCCAGGCCTGTTTGGCCTGTGCTCTCCTCTCTCTCTGCCCGGCTCTACCTTTGCCCCGTCCTCTGCCCACGGTCAGGCATGTGACTGGCCGCTGCCTTCCTCCGGCTGCGCCCTCTAGGGGTGGGGCGGCCCCTTGCTCAGGTGTTGGGGGCAGTAAGCCGGCCCCGCCTTCCCCTCCGTCTTTGGGCAGCGAGATTACCATCCGTGTCCAGTGCCCCTGACTCCTTAGTCCTGGATTGCTCCACAGTGAGCCGTTGTCCACAGTCACGTGCTGTGTTATTGCTGAAGGAGGGAGCGGTCAGGGGGGGTGGCTGGAAGAGATGGTGGGGACCCTGGTCCCAGCAGCCCCTGCAGCCCCACACCCTCCATCCCATGTCCCCTCCTAGGTCTTCCAGGAGGTGCAGGCCCTGATCACCTCCTGCATCGACGGGTTCAATGTCTGCATCTTCGCTTACGGCCAGACGGGTGCTGGCAAGACGTACACGATGGAGGTGGGTGCCCGCTGAGGCGGGGTTCAGACCGTGAGGACCTCCCCTGGCTGCCACGGGTGGGGGCTCAGGGTCCTGCGTGGTGTGTTGTGCCTCACTCGGTCTTCACAACCTCCCCGCCACCAGGGCCTGAAGAGGGGGCGCCTTGCCCAAGGGCACTGGGATGGTCCCCGTGGTAGGAGGGGCAGGGGTGACGACAGCCACCTCACAGAAGGGTCCTGGCCTGAAGTCAGAGTCAGTCTTCATGGAATGGATTGGGCTCCACACGCATTTATTGGGCTCCTGGGGTACGGCTGCCCGGGCTGGGCCCTGGGGCTACCAGGATGGATGAGGGCAGGTCTCCATCCTGGAGGGGGTCCCGGCCCCCGTGGGAGAGACTGGCTGATGAAGACTGTCGTGGGTGGGAGCCCTGCTCTTACCTGCCTCCTCCTGCTTGCGGCTGTCCCCTCCCCTCGGGGACCCGGCCTCTAGAGGAGGAAGAATCTTGTCTGTAGATGAAAATGGAAGGCTGGCCCCCCGGGGTCTTTGGTTTGTCAGCATTTCCCTGGCTCTTGACGGGGCGGTTTCCTGGGTAGAGACGGAGCGCAGGTGTCCTGGTGTCGGGACAAGGCGAGTGAGAGGGCCCTTCGGTGGGAGGGGCCCTGAGAGGGGAAGCGAGAGCCCAGGTGAGATTTCCTCAGAAAGGCCGGGAGCGCAGGGTCCCAAGGTCCCTGCCGGCTCCGCCTGGGCCTGCCCTCCACCCCCTAGAGCCCGGCTCACGGCCTCCCTGATATCGGCCCCCTGTGGGCAGCGGCAGGGAAATCGGGTTCCCCGTGTCGGTCCCAGGCGGCTCACCAGGGCCAGGTACACATCTGGCTCCCAGCAGCCCATGTGCTGTCCCCGGCCGGCGTTTCACCTGGGCGCCCTGCTCTGTCTAGGGCAGTCCGGCAGGGGGTACCATTTTAAAGGTGGGAAACTGAGGCCCAAGTAGGTGAATGAAGTTGCTTGCAGTTGTGGGGAGGAGGTTTGGGGACAGATCAGCCTGCAGACGGAGGCTTCGGGCAGGGAGGCTGGGGGCCACAGGCACCCTGTGAGCATCTGCACGGGCCACCCCTCATGGTGGGGAGGGGACCAGCTCACGGGGCCTTGCCTCTGCCCCCAGGGAACCCCTGAGAACCCAGGCATCAACCAGCGGGCCCTGCAGCTGCTCTTCTCCGAGGTGCAGGAGAAGGCCTCCGACTGGGAGTTCACCATCACCGTCAGCG